AGTTTTCCTCAGTTGTTCCATGTTTCCATGATGAATAATACCTTTCAACATTACTACTTTTGACGTAAATACGTCTATAAGGAAGGGTCATTCGGCAAAAAAGTGTTACGAAAAAGGTAAACGAAAAAGTGTAACAAGTGTACCTAGGGAACGTCGTGTTTACTCGGAATTGTTGTTACCTATGAAACGTCGTGTTTACTCGGAATTGTTGTTACCTATGAAACGTCGTGTTTACTCGGAATTGTTGTTACCTATGAAACTCAATTGTAAAGCATGTATAAAGGAAATATTTAGAATAAAGCCAATATATAAACTTCCTTTCCGTATAGACGTATTTACGTCAAATTCTCCGGAACCGTGGTTCCACTGACAACGTTTTTTTCTATTCTGTTCCATCGCACATGGGCCTAACATTCTCCAATTTCATTCAACTATTTAAGCCTTTATGAAATTTGAGGTTCTTACTGCGGTAAAGAAGTCGATGTTGGTATTCAGAGTTCGTGAGGGAAATGCTGCCTCTATTTTCAGCCCTGAATATGGAGACAGTATGTTCCTCCGAAACTCTGGTATCTACTTACAAGTCTACACGTTGTTACAAACCCAGGAGACCAACATCGGCAGTTAAAGAACTTTTTTCTTCTCTAGGTTAGTTTCATATTTAGCCTGGCCTGTTATAATTCAGTAATATTTATTAAAGTATGAATCGATTTAGATATTTGTTACGATTTCTTGGACAAGTTATCAACTCCGCTGAAGAAACCTTAAGTATCTATAAATTTCAGATACTGACATTAACTAACTCACAAAGCAGCCATCTGTGTGTTTTTGTGTATCATTTAACTAGCCGGTGTAGTTGGGGTTCAAATTGAGTGTTATTTTATTAGGACAAGTCGCTTTATGTTTGTCTTCCTGCTCTAATAAGGCAAGATACACGAAGGCTCGAAACACTTTGCCTGTGGCAAACTACGCAGTAACTAAAGCTGATGTCTGTCTAAGTGATGGCTGGCATATCGACAACCTTACATTATAACCACTAGGCCGATCATATTACAGATATGAACGGACGGTTATACTTACCACAATAAATTATTATTCTCCTTGAGAGAGATTAACTAACTATCGTCGCTAGCAACTTAAGGTGTCCAACTTCAAAATGGGAAGATAGCGTTACTGTACACGAATTTTGAAGATCTTTAAACACCAAAATTATATCGTTCTGAACATATTTCAGTGTTCAGTCGCCTTAAAATATACTTTTCGAGACTTCACTATTTACTTGTTTATGGGTTTTTCCGCAGTGGCGCTGTTACTACGCCATGTCCATTCGTCTGTCATTACGTTGTGTACACATTGTGAAATGTTATGTTACGTGGCTGCATAAATATATTTTGATAAATAATGAACGAAATATCCTTCGGACAGACGTTGTAGCCTTCGCCGTGTCAAGGTCACAGAAAAGACGTACAGCGTTTCGACACGAACAACTGAGTAAAGACACCTCGGAACTCGCACCGCAGTAAAGATAGCAACACCGTGTCCTTGAAGCATGTAGTTTAGTAACTGATGTTTGTAGCTATACTTTTTACCTTATAGCTTATTTTCTTTATTTCACACGACTTAACAGTATGTCCGTGTGATTGTCCCATGTGTTTTTAATGAAGTGACGTAATTTTTTTAAACTTTTCTTCGATATTGTGTCACTGTTAATTTTAGTATGTTGACCGTGTTAACTTAGATTTAGAGATGGTTCTAACATATGCTTGAGCCGGGATAGCTCAGTCAGTATAGTGACTAGCTACCTCCTCTACAATGGGTACCGGGATCCTTTCCCGGGGGTAAAGCCGGCCGGGGCGTGATGCTGACCACTCACCCCCCCATCTAGTGCCGAGGTCAAGAAAGAGAGGAGCCATACCTCCTCTCCCCCCAAGCGCCTACATGGCGTATAGTGGGACAAACTTTACTTTACTTTACTTCTAACATATGTTTAATATGCAGTGCCCACATTTTGTATGCTAATAGATTTAATTTAAAATTATTTTGAGTTTAGTGGTCTTTAAGTGTGTCTACAGCCTTGCAATTCAGAATCAAAAGCAGTGCACACTTTTGTGTTGTTGATCACGTCAAGAAATAACTTACAACGTATTCACATTTTATACTATGTCTATCTTTTTAGCACGCTGATTTCTTCTTTCAAATGTTAATAATTTTAAAGTTCTGAAATGGATTTGATGAACATGTATAAACATGTGAAATACAATAGGCTGTGCACTAGTTTTATCTCATCCTAAAGAATGTAATTGCGTTAATTGTTTCCTATAAATGAATGAAAATAGATCTTCCGTTGTTAGGGACGAGGTATTCGGTGGTAATTCATTTCAACCGTAGCTGTTGGCGTAGTAAATTATTAATTCTTTAAACTGATATGTTATATGCCTTTACTTAAAATTATATACAGTTGTGTCGAAATTGTGTGTTAGAAATAATTGTACTTTTCAGAAAGTTCATAATTGCTGTGAAAGAAGTTTTTTCTTCAAAAAGTGTAGACACTTCAGTGAGGAGAGGTTATGGATGTTGATTCTCACGTTGTGTTTTGGGGCTTGTAGTTAAAAACTTGTTTAAATTGGTCCCCCAACTAATTAATTGACTCAACTCCTGATACTTAAACTGAAGTTTTGTCAGTACAGTAACCGAACCATGCATTAGACCCTACTCGAAACAAGCCAGATTCAATAATTCCGTCACAGTTAATTTCAGAAAAATTCCGTTCGATTGTAATCCTAAATTTTAAATTTGCATCTAATTTCAATTTCTGACTGAGTGATTTGTAAAAATATTTACTAATTATTCCTCAGATATGCTATGAATGCAGGTGAATATTTCTCGAGGATTTCAGTGCCGACAGAGAGATATTGTACACGAATTATGAATTGGAAATTATTAGGGCGGAGACACTCATGATCATGAACTTGCGTGGAGTAATTACAAGAAACTTCTTTTTCAAGTTTTGTTGAGTTGTAAAGTTTATGAATTATTAATTGCGAGCAGTAGACCACGTTTCCAACAGGCTGACATTTACCGCCTTTTTGTAGTTAATTTCATTTCGGAAGTTTATCTTAATTTTTTCTTTTATTATCTTAAAATCTGCCTTTGTCTCTCTTTTACCAAATTGAAATCTGTGTGCCTTGTCTATAAATTTAGTAAATACACACACAATATTTTTGTCGGCTGGTTAATGTACCCATTCGTAAAGAAATTACCAGATATAGAACACACAGTAAGGACGTGGGAAGAGAATTTTGTGTGTGTTCTCCGGTTGATTGAATGTAATCGGAAGGTCTTTGCGACAAAAGTGTGCTGCTTTCTTTGGTCGATATTCGAGGAATTTACCACGATGCATAATATGAATTTATCTAAATGAATTTTTATTAAAATTTTATACGTCTGTTTTCATTAGATTCATTTCATTTTATCCTCAAATCTACGTTCAGGTCTTGAGAAAGTTTTGTATTCGCTTCAGTGTTTATTATTGCAAATGTTGAGACGTGTCGGTGATGCATTACATCCTACAGCGTTCTTGCCAATTTATTATAACAAAATATGATAAAATCAACTAAATAAGCTAATCTATTGTCATAATAGTTATCTAAACCATCTTTGTCGTTTTATGAGTGTTAATAATATTAAGGATACTACGTACTGTCTTTCGTTATGTTATGAGAGGTGTAAGCTGACACTCAGACTAAGCACGCGATCTGGTAGTGAGAACTTGTATCATAGCAGGCGACTTGATGGGAAAATTATTAGGAGATGAGAGCTGAAGTGACAGCGAAGAGATAAATGAGTTTGAGGTTGCTTTCGATGGCAAGGCGGTTAACCCACTCGTAGTCCGAGATAGACTTACACACCTGACGGCTTACTACAGTGGTCGGAAAATTCCCTGACTCCAGTATCTCTAATTAGGTGACAGCGCTAGAATTATCGTCACTTTTCGTAATGAGGAATAGCTTTATAGTGGTCTTGTAGGTGATAGAAAATATTTCGGATGAAATTGTCTTATAAATTCGTTATTTTAAAACGTAGTGTTAAATATGAAATTTAAATATCATGAAGACATAATTTAAGTGTTTTTAGAAGTTATGCCGATACGAATTACAATTGCAATCCACGAAAAATATTTTGGTTTCTTAAATACACAGATGAATTAACATGGCATTTGGACTCAACAGACGAAACTCGTTGAATATTTCATGACTTTAACAGGTAAATTATTTTGGTATAAATTATAGGCCGTGCGCATTGCAGTAAACCGACTTAATACTTGCGAGGCGAAACGGTATTAAGACATTAATTACACCCGTGATGAAGTTGGTAATAGGCAGATTTAGATGCATCACAGTTTCTGAATATGTTGGTAGGACAATTGTAAGAGCAGGTGAAATAATTAATAGATGATGCAATGACAAAGGAGAAATGTGGTCGTGCGATCTGTATTCCCCGTGTTTGACTTCGATACCTACGAGTGCTTCTCCTTTCAGTTTGCCTTCTTCGTGAATGGTGTAATGTTTTCTGTGTTACGTAATGCCCATAACAAACCTCTGTTTCCCTGTATTTGATATTAATAATGTCAAAACAGCTGTGTGTCTTTACAGGAGTAATCTTAAGAGACCAGTTTAACTAAACCAGGGGTGGCCAACCCAAATGATCTTTCGGGCCACTTTGGAAATGCATCATAACTCCGCGGGCCACATATAAAATTATATATTCCCATATTAGATTTAGATACACTATAGACATTTTTTTGGAGTGAAAAATTGAAACATAATGAGTTATTATTATTGTGTTTACTATTATTCTTACATGTAAACATAGACAACACACTGTTTGCCGAGATAGGCTTAGGTTCGAAAACAGTTTACTTTTATCAGGTAAAATATCCTTCACAACAGCTTCCAAACATTCTGTCACAAATTTACCATCCGAAAATGTTTTCATTTTTTTTACAATCACAAATGAAACAGAATAGCTTGCCTTAACAATATTGGAAGGTTGCTGTAATGCTGCACCAAACATTTTTTGTTGAGCCTTTAATTGCGACTTAAACTCCTTGAGCTTCGATTGTTTCACTTCTTTATCGAACTTCAAATAATCCTTATGTTTTGTTTCGTAATGCCTCTTAACATTATATTCCTTAAATACAGCAACGACCTCTCGGCAAATTAAACATAATAATTTTGTATTTTGAACTATGAAGAAGTACTTTTCTTCCCATTCATCGCTATACTTTCTATTTTCATCCACTATTCTTCTTTTCTTTGCAGTCATACTGAAAATAAGAGAGATATTAAATATATCTATTTTTAATTGTTAAATTAAAAGTCATTTTTAATTTAATAGGAGTTATTACCTGGCTGTTGTTGTTTTAAATATGTTGTTGAAGTACAGGCATATTAAAATAATTATCCTGCAGTCACAGCACACAAAACGAAACCAAAAAGCAAATTTTCACTTGAAACTGAGAGTCTGCTCTGCTCTGCTATCAACAATCAACTGTGCGTATCTAGGTATGGTCACTGCGTCACTGAGGGCACTTAAGAGTGAAACATAGAACCTGTTATATTAGATGTTCCAAGATGCACGCGCATCATGAGTTCGCAGAATATAGTTTAATTATTCTGCGAACTCATAACTGTAAACTCATGAATAAAACAGGCAATATCTGTCATATATTATTATTTTAAAATCAAAGTTAATTTTTTCTCATAATTTCGACAGATAATTTTTGAATATATGGATGCACAAATAATGTATTTTTTTAATACATTGGTTTTCACTACTTTGGCCATTATAAAATAAATATATTTTGTAAAAGTGTGATGAATCTCGCGGGCCGGAAAAATGTTCAAGGCGGGCCACATGCGGCCCGCGGCCCGCGGGTTGGCCACCCCTGAACTAAACCTTTTCATCCAAAGCTCGTCTAAATAGTATTTAAGAATTCAGTCCGTAGCACAAAGAAAACACTATACTTCACCATTACGAAGATGAACTGATTAAGTCAGTTTTTGGAAATACGCGCTGTTTACACTGAGAACCATACGAAAACTATTATATAGAATGGAGAGTTACTGTTTATTAAAACAAGTGGTACGTATAGTTACCAGTGGGCTTTAGATGTTTAAACTTTCTTCCGTGGAATAAAAAACTGTTAGCAGACTCTCATATCTGGCTTTTGACTTGAATACAAATTAACTGCCTCGACATTAATCCCATGATCAATATTAAGAAAGGGTTGCGTTGTACACAGACGGTGAGTTTAATTACCACTATTGTTCTGTGTAGTTCCGTGAACAAGTAACCCATCGATTTTCCCATCTTCCTCCTTTCATGTTCTGTTGATCAATACAAATTACATCCAATCTTGCAGTCCGTCCGTGTTATTGACCTTCGACTACCCCGTGTACTTCCGAAGTCCCTGAGACAACATTTCTCTTCTTGTACCTTCGTCTCGGGGTACTCAACCCGCGGCCCAGTGATGTGCTTGGTTCGACCCACTTACAAGTCACACTGCACAGTGGAGGGGTATACAAAATTGTTTCAATTGAATATACTTACTTCCGTTCTTCAAGTGCCTGAGCACTGCGGGTCCCAAATTTCGTTGGCTTTGATCTATTAGACAGTTGGTAGGACTCCTTGGACGAGGGATCTGCCCGTCGCAAGGCCTCTACCTATACACAGGACACCACAATATAGAAAAACGCGGACACACATCCATGGTTTGAGAGGGATTCGAACCCACGGTCCCAGTGACCAAGCGGCCTCTGTGACAGCTTCAAGTGAATGTAGCTGACTGACGTTTGTGATATTACGCCATATATTCTGGTAGAAATGTACCGACGTTTCAGAACTGCCTCCATCATCATCGCCCTGGGAGATAAAAATGTATGATCCTTATATTTTATGTGGTAATAAATCTTAGAATGTAAGGAATTTTATAATGTTTTTCCTTCTATAATTCAATAAAATTACATGTTGGTTTCTCAAAATTTATATTTACGTTGTAGGATTTGAGGTGGTGAGTCTGGTAGAAGTGTACCGATGTTTTAGGGGTCCTTGCTGTTTAATGAAAAACATAGTCCTTCATTTAATATTCCGTGTAATTTAGATGTATGACAACGTCAAAGTCGCGAGGTGGAGATTTTGGGGCCGGCGTAAACCACGCATTATAACAAAGTTTAGTCGGGAATCTGTGGATCTGTTCGCTGAAATTATAAACACAATTTGATAATTAGTATAATTATTTTCTGAGATGTTTTTGTTGGTGATAATTTTTTAAATTCACTATTAGACATAAACCTATCTCTTCAACATAAAATGTATTCATTACCCTACCTACTTATCTTATTAGTCTTTTTAACACACCAAATGAGGGAATTTCAATGAAATGTGTGTACTTTCCAATCCATTGTTTTAATTCCCTTACTGTTAATTTGTTTATCAAAAACTGATTGTAGACAGAATAGCATAGGTTCGGAGGCTTTAACTGTGTATTAAATACTATAAAATAAATATTTTTGAAATGTTTCTTAACCTGTTATTATCGGCCGTTAAGTTTCTAGTTAGTTTACAGTTCTTGATAGCTTCGATATATGGATAGGAATTTTTAAAAAAGTACAATAGGGTCCAGAGTTCTCCCAACAGCTCATTCTATGCGCCGAATTGTAAATCCTACAGTTATAAATTCTACCGTTTATATCAGTAATCGATTCCCTGCCACGTAATTAATATCAAGTGATAGAAATTTCAATTTTATAATCGGTAAGAAATTGTTGGGAGCTTTACGTAATTATAATGTCATTTGTGTGATAGAAGACATTAATTTCACTTTATGTAGCAGATGTTAAGAGTATTTTTGTATTGGCTAAAAATTATTTTCTCTGGACGTGTGGTGACGATCAGGTAATTTAATAGATTTGACATCACGTGAAACAGCTTATATCAAAACCGGATTTTATAAGCCTATAATAACCCGTCTTTGTTACCAACTCTGCCAGTGTCTTTTAACAATACTGGGAGGAGAAACAAGTGAGATCTTGATGTGAACACAATAGTTTATTGTTACTTATTATGTATGATATTGGTGGGGGTGATGTAAAATTATGAGTATTAATAACGATGTATTTTCTTAACCTCTCATTACTGACAAGTAGATACAAACTACGTATACGTATTCATAATGGACGCGGCATTTACCAATAAGACTGCATTTATAGACGGTGAGAACCGGTGGAAAATAGCAGGTAATTTATTTTTCAGCCGACAGCCAATGTACGTCTATTATGTTAATGTATGTTAAGTGAAGGAAGGATATTTCAACCAGTTACGTTACTGAATGGCTAGAGTTAGATTATTCACGGTTGTTTATAGAGCTTAATCCTTTAAAATTTTATCCAGTATCACGTTAAATGAAACTGTTGAAACTATCTAGGAAATGTAGAGGATTTTTTCAGGTGGACTTGGAGTTATGCACAAGTACGCAAATGCTTAACGTTTCAAGAGTAGTGTAATAAAAAGTTTTAATGTGTTGTTGACTGCGTCAGTGTAATCATTCGGACAATGTCACATGAGAAACTGCCTTTATTAACTCCAGATATGCTGGCAAGGCCAGAAGTTCTTGATGTGTTTTCTGTTTCACCAAGACCAAGTGCTCTGTATTCATCAGCCATCTCGGTTTATGTACACTCTGGCAGTTTAAGAGGGCATGAAAGCTTAAGTGCCTGAGTTAAGACGTGCTTTAAGTTCGTAATGATAGTTCTTGTTATGATTATTTAAAATTAATGGTTTTTACGTGTGTTTACTCCTGTGATAAATCCTGTCTTAAATTTTGACGGATTATACCTGAATCAGATCTCAACCCTACGCCGGCTATCTGGACAGGCTTGACTCCAGGTAAATGTCAGGATGCTAACCTTAAATCAGGATATGATCGCTTCCTTCCAAGAACTTTCCATTTCATTATTCACTATTTTCTTATCATTGGAAGCTATATAATATGAGCTACTATTAATAATAACGTTGTTAAATACAATATACGTTTATTTTTTTATTTGTAGTGTTCTGTGTGACGACAGGTCCATATGAACAGGATCCTTCCATCCTTTTCTCGGACTGGGACCTGTTCATATACGTTCTTGGCAGATGATCCAGAAGTGGTTTGCCATTGCCTTCTTCTGTGTGTGAATGGAGTAATTGTTGGGATGCCACGGAGGAAAACTCCGTGTTGCCTAGACCACGGCCTTGCCCAACACAAGTTATAAATCCGGGCACCACCGGGAATCGAACTCGAAACCCCCAGGATTACAAGGCCAGCGTTCTAACCGCTAGACCACCGTGGCTATCACAATATACGTAAGAAATAAATACAACGGATTAGGTCCTCTGGCTTGTTGCGTTTCATAATCCTTTAAATGTTTGTTAGGGTTCCTTGAATGGGCTGAGCTCATCACAAGTCTACCTGCAAAAGTTTCCTTTTCGGTTGTAAACATTTTTACATTTTTTAACACCATTAACAAGTCGAAATTATTATATTGTGGAAAAAAGTCGAAAACGAATAAACTGACCGAATCGATAAAAAAACGATGTTTTCATGAAAGATTGTAGTACCTGGCAAGATGTAACTGTTGAAGGTCATGCATTGCTGTTATTGAACATTGATTGCCTGTTTAAGCAATCCAAGTGCCTGGATGGCCATAACCACAATTCCACGCGTGAGTGGGCGTATCCTCACTGTGCCAAAATGGGTAAAAAGAGGGTAATATCGATTAAGCTGATTTGTAGAATACAGGAAGAAACACCCAGAAGTGTTGATTGTGGCATCGTACTTCAAACATAGGACAGACGTTGAAAGATGCCACAAACTTTGACGATTCTGCGTTCTACCTCAGTGGACTTGATGTCGATTTATTGCAGACGCAGTTCTCTGTTTCTAATATAAATCTGCTGTCAAAAATCTGATAAAACTGCTGTCATATCTCAGTGTTTACAGTCTGGTTATTGTTCCTTGTATTTTTCCGTGTATCTTTTTTCTACTTTCGAGCGTTTTGTCAAGACACTCATTTCATAGGTTTCCGTAGCCGTTTTGGCGAGTCTTTGGCAAAATTTGATTTGTTCATGAAAATCCGCCATTCCGAAATCGCAGGAGGGTCGGTGTAATGCACTACCAAAACGCCCGTAACTAAGAAACAAATGCTAATTCGATGATGCCGGCTGGCACACTGATTCACTATGAATGTAGGCCGCACCCCCTAGCGGCAGAAGCTCGTACTACATCCGGTTCGCCCTCTATTGACATAGTCTTTAAACTTTCCGATCGCACCTCGTATGTACTTGCCCAAAAATTCTTGCGATACGGATAAACTCCTACCAATTTGTGAGTACTTCTGTATCAAGTTTGTCTCGTGTCTCGGATCACAGTTTTACCACGCTTTATATAACATATAAATGTTAAATCCTAAAATATTTACTATCTTTACCAGTGACCTTTAGAAGTCAGTAATTTATCTAACTCTTTCTCATGAATGTTGCACGTTGAACATTTAAAGGCGAAATGAATTGTAGTTAAAATGACACGTAAATTGCGCTGACGTCATGAACTCATGATTAGTAGATTTCCACTGTCCGTGAGAGTCATCAAATCCTTTCAGGAAGTAACATTACGAATCTGTT